TATCAAGCATACACAGTTAACTGACACCAATCCTTCTCAGCCATGGACACTTGACTAAATGCAATCCTTCTCAACTACGTGCATAGAGCTGCCTTGTGTGTGGAGAACACTCGCAGTGTGCGGTGTAAATGATATTTCGCGTTGATCCCAGTGAGTGTGTCAACCGATAATCAGACTATGGTCTTCGTTTCATGAACACAACAGTTTGTCACAGCATTGCAAGATTTCAGGACGAAAGCAGCACAGAGTGAGCAGCATCACTTTCGCTCATAGTTGTCACGTGACGATGACATGGGTTTTCAGGATGTCCTTGTCGTGGCTAGGTCACAAATGATACAGATATGGTTCTATGCGCTATAAGTGGTGGAGATATGGTTCTATGCAGCTCCTGGGGCGAAGGCGTCACGTCAGTGTGTTCAAAAAAATCACATAAGTACTTTCACAAATCAAGTGGTTAACATGCACAGAATTGCGCGTATGTGCGCTTGTGAGCATTTCCAGATATTAATATACAACTCGCATCGAATGACCTGGTGGACGCATACTCACAGCGATGTCGCGGATTTCAACGATAGCATTGGACTCGTGCGCGTGTATACATACACGCCCTGCACGTACCATTCGTGTAGTTGTAACACGCTCTTAAACATCGATCATCCCAGAATGCATGTCTGATACTTCTATCCCATAATCTCTATTGTAAGATGCGCATACGCGCACATACGGCCCATTCCAGATCGTTTTCGGAATTAGGCCATGAGTGCACTACGGATACACACGAACAGAGCATACATCAACACAGACACAGCCACACCAGAACAAAGAACATCCACCATCCAGTTGTACCGAACTTACCGCAAACGCCCCGAATGCAGAGGTTATGCAGTCATTGACCGCAACTGGCTCACCCACAGTAAGCGGTGGCAAACAGTGCACGTTGTCACTCGGCACAGCCACACCCGGCAGCATCAGGTCTGCACCACCCAGGATCTTCTTAGCGACAAAGGAGTTTGTACTGAGAGACGGCACACACGACGGGAGCAGCCACAGGGCATAGACGGTGGGGAGGAGTGGCCCGTCTTTGGTGCTGAAGAACAGTGGCACCTGCAGGCGAGAGAAGCTGTGACTATGAGACTGTGCGTGGGTCGAGGGTGTGGCAATGGGGGAGAGTAAGGGGCGGGAGGGAGTGATGTATTGTGGGCCTTTTCTGTCTATCGAGTGGGTCATCTTGAGGTCACCTCGGCGAAGAGCATAGTCTTAGCATAGATGTTGCTAGGGTGAACAGCCCAGTTAGCAACCCGATTTTACGACGTTCTGTGATCACCATGTCGACTCACAAACCACCCGAACTTACAAATCGAACGGATTCAGTTATTCAAGGCTAAGCTTTTATAGACACCAAGCACACGGAACGGCTATGGGACTTGCGGCAGGACAACCAGACACATGCATCGGAGTATTATTTGACCATAGCATCACACATCGATTCATCTGGGCCTTTTGACATCCAACGAAACTCACAACCAACTCCATAGCACGTGGCCTCCTGCTGTGAACAATACGCGTCCACAAATAAATAACAAGGGCTACACGTGTAAAACAAATGGACTAGCATATAAGCGACGGATACGTTGGTGGTGACATACTGAGTTGACCACATAGCACAGCACTATGCCGTCTGCGCTGGTCTGCAGTTTGGCTAGGCGCACCTCTCCCTTGACAGGGACCACAGAATCCAGCTGCTCAGTGGTGACGGAGGGAAACGCCTGCAGCACATTGGCACGTAGTTTGCGACATTCACTCGTTCTGTAACGAGATGGGAGACGAAAGTTCATATAATCTGGAGATCAGTACAAAGAAGGGGTGCTTATTGGGAACACAGATATACAGGTGGTATGCAGCGATAGGGCGAGCCACACGAAAGTTGAGGAAGGGTGCATAGGTAAGCACTCTGGATCTTTATAGACATTAAAAGTTACGAGATATTAAGAGATACTCGCAATAGAGTCTGTAGAAGTACTTTAGAAGTATATGACACGCACGCATGCACCTATTGACGACCCCCACAATGGCACCAAAAACTCAACGATACAACGGTAAACAGTATCAGGTATAATGTGATTCACAGAGAAGCTATGAATGCATTACTAATGTACAAAGATCACGGCAGTAAGTATTGCATTCACTTTAGTTGAACGTATCAGATGCACGGTAGCTCATGACTGTACTAGGGTTATTCCAAACTCAGTAATATATGTATTAAATATTCAAAACAGGTCTAAACATTACACAACACGCCCCTCTATGTACGAACTATACACATACTTGATTGCCGAGTTGGTTTTTACGTGGAATGGCTTCCTGAACATTACGTGTCCCTATCGATGCACACCACGGATAAGGGAAGGCAATGCGGCTGGGCAACTGCTTGTGGGTGTGGTCTCGTTGGTTAATGTGTGAATGGAATATGCAACTACTTGTTATTATAGAAAAATAACTTATTAGATACATACACTACACTACGTAAGTAAGTAACCATGTTAATATACACGTTAATTAAGTCCAATTTATATATCTTTACTATAAAAATACATGAACCCTACAATCGCACCATAGTGTATTTGCCAGCTAAACTCTTAACAAGCACACGAAATCCGAATCAGCCGCCAAAACCGTTTAGCTATATTTGGTGTATGTGCGTCACCAAAAATCGCTACCCACCCAATCGTTTTGTTGGGGTGCGCGGGTAGTCTCAAGGGATAGGCGGCTACAGAGGCATCAAGGTTAATAATATTTAGATGCAGGCGTATCTACGGGTATTAAAAATTGTCAGATGTATGCAAGGAAATAAGTAATATTGTCCTTTGCATGCTCTACAGTGGAATAAATAAACACAATAGAAGCTACTACGTCGTAGGATACACTGCGGTATGTTGGGGTGTTTATCTTGATCCAGTGACCTCCTATGTTTGTTTCACCATGCTGTTTCCGTATTTGTGTTTTATAATTAAATACTACAAACACTCTCTTGAATGCCCATAGTTGATATCATAATGATCGTCGAAACAATTGACAAGAAACGGTTCTTCATTGATAAAGACCAGGTATCTCTGTTGGGTGCTGTGCTACAGCGGGGGAGTGCTGAAACTGCCAACCAAGAAGGGGAAGTTGTAAACATACCTGTCGCATCCAGTACAATTGATGTCTTATTGCATCCAGATTAATTCACTCATGATCTAGACTACCTGGAGGCAGAGCTCCCCCATACCACCGGATATGACTACGATTTGATATTTTATGATGTTGTGTATACACCGTGTGAGGATTTCCTTCGTGGGATATGCTGGAAAGGTCATTTCACGTATGAGCCTACAGTAGACGAAAGGGAGAAACATATATACTGGGAAATCGAAGGCATACCCCGTGAGGGTGCTATACGTCCTCCGCGTTTATATGACTTTGATAAATTCCGTGTCCATATCAGTCAAGAAGTCCGACACAACGGTTTTGCTACCGCTCATAGTCGTGTACGACTCGCATGTTGCACTGCTAAGTGCTGGCGCCAATCATCAATGGTTTGGACTGATCTGCCTCGCATTGAGTGGGTATTGCGGCGATAAGATTTATACTCGCAAATTTGAGGCGACACTTCCAACTGAGCTAGAGGCCAAAGGAATTAAGGTGCTTAGCATGACTGAGAAGGACGAGCAGGAAGAGTAGCAATCTTTAAAAGTAGAGACGCGCAGAAGAATCGCGCAAGCAGATAAATTCTCGATCGGAAGGCATGCTACCTCGGAAACTGATTATTGATGATCAGTGAATATTATATATTTATATACCAGACTTTCGGCATAAACTTGTATTAATATAAATACCATGAATAATTGGCAGCCGATAAATTATACATTTAGGGGATATCAGTGCGTATTGTTGTACGAACCTATGAGAATGAAGCATTTGCTTCCATTTTATCGTATTTCCGTTTACTATGACGTTAAGCATCCGCTACTCACTTGCCTGAATACTGAATACGACTATGTTTCGTATCTGATTCCAATCGGTGTGCGGCCTACTCCGTATGCGTGTTATAGGCTGCCTTGCGCGTGCGCACGACATATTGGGTGGGGTATTGCTGGTGCATTTGCACCTGTACATCGCGTGTGTTGCCCAAATAAATACATGCATCAATCATCGAAGATACTGTGGTTTCATGAGCAGCGCATGGACTGGCAGTGTGGTGGTTGTGTCTGCTCTCTCGCGCTAGAGGTGACACTACACTTTGAGGAAGTCGTCGCCGGTGGCCCTGTAAAAAGAATCTCAGAACTAAGGGCTCTTGTCGATGCGATTGGGGAACAGGGGACTTCGCGACTTCTCTTAGCCATCCTGAAGCTATTCCTATTCTGGCCGACTGAATCAGATGTGTCATTACATTTTCGACGCACTTGGTCCTCATTGTGTTCATCGACTTCTGTATACTACTTGAATAGTGGATGCGCAGAGCACGTCTGGTCCGATGACATAATACACAGTTTTTCAAATAAAATCTGTGCATGCTTGTAGAATCACCGATTTCGTGATGCTCACACTCTCGATCACTATTAGCAAAAGATATATATATATATATATATATATATATACTATACTATACAGAAACCAATGATATACATAT